GGACTTCAACTCCCAGAATTCCTCAGCCAGCTTTGCTGGCTGAGGAATTCTGGGAGTTGAAGTCCACAAGTCTTAAAGTTGCCAAGGTTGGACACCCCTGGTATAGACCCTGGGTGAAAAGGAATTGGCCACCTGGCCCTTGTTGGCAGTGGGATCTACCCGCTGCCGTCCAAGGAATCTGCATGATCCCAAGAGCCCCCCGAAAGGCCCAGGGGTGGCCGCAGCCTCTTCCACAACCCCCTTTGGGCTCCTGGGAAGATTCAAGGGCTCGGCCACCGCACCCCTCAGGTGGCTGGAGCTAAACTCGGTTGGCTTCCAGTTAAGAGCCGTCTGGAAGCTTCCCAGCCTTGAGTCTGGCATGACGCCCATTTCAGAGCTGATGCGGGTGAAAAGTCCGGTGTGTTAATCGGGGGGCGTCTCCCTCCAGCTGAGCTTTAAGCAACCCCCCCCCCCGTCCCCTTTCAACGCTTCCAGGGAACTTCCTGTGGACCACCAGCATGGCCCCCTGCGTGAAGGAGCTGCTGTTCCACCTCCTGGCCGAACTGCTGCGCAAAGTCCACAGCCTGGAGCAGCGGAAGAGCCCGGCGGGCCTCTCCTCCTCCATCGCCCTGCAGCTCAACCCTTGCCTGGCCATGCTGATGGCGCTGCAGTCGGAGCTGCACAAGCTCTACGACGAGGAGACCCAGAGCTGGGTGTCTGGGAACGCCGGGGCCGGGGCCGGGGTGGGGGGTGCCGACCAAGGCAGGTTCTCCACCTACTTCCACGCGCTGATGGAGGCCTGCCTGGCGGTGGCCGAAGTGACCCTGCCGGTCAACATGGGCATCACCACCAACGTCATGTCTTCCACCAGCGGCCCGAACCTGAGCGATTCCTCCTCCTCCTCCTCCTCCTCCCCCGGGCAGACCCCCCAGAGCCCCAGCCTCCTCTCCAAGAGGAAGAAAGTGAAGATGAAACGGGAGAAGGCGGCGCCTTCTGGGAAGCGTTCCTCCTCCCGCGCAGCCGACACGGACCCGGCCCTGCTGGCCATGGGGGGGAGCAAGCCGGAGGACATGCTGTGGTTCCACCGGGCCCTCACCCTGCTCATCATCCTCCGGCACCTCACCAGGAAGGACCCCCAGGGCTTGGGGGTGACCAATGACGCGGTGGCGGATGCCTGCCAGGCCCTGGTCGGGGCGACGGCTCACAGCCGCCTGCTGGTGATCTCCGGGATCCCCACCCACCTGGAGGATGGGGTGGTGCGTAGCGCCATCCGCAAGGCCTGCAACGCCCACGGCGGCGTCTTCCGGGACGAGATCTACATCCCGGTGCAGGAGGAGCTGCCCAGGAAGGCCAAGGACAAAGCGGAGGGCGGGGAGTGCCGGACCGAGCTGGAGAAGCCGGTGGTGTCCAGCAGCGTGGACAGCTTGGACGTCAGCAGCTCCAGCAGCGTCACGCCGGCCATGAGCGTCAGTGCTTCCGCCTCGACCAGCCAGGCCTCGCTCTGCAGCTCGCAGGGCATCTCCCGGACGGTCAGCGACATCTCCGTGGACCAGTTCCAGGCCGGCCTGGAGGTGGCCGTCCCGCCCAGCCTGCTGGAGCCGCACGGGGTCTCCAGCCAGGAGAGCTTGGACCTGTCGCTCTGCAGCACCGGCAGCCTGGGCAGCCTGGGCAGCTTTGGGGAGCAGCTGGACAACGGGGAGACGGCGTCGGCCTCTGACGTGGGCTCCCTCTACACCGTCACCTCGCTCGGCAGCCGGACCGCCCCATCCAGGCCCATCAGGGGCTTCGCTGTGGTGGAGGTGAGGGGCCTCGAGGCAAAGGCCAGCCATCCTGGAGCGCAAAGGACTCTGGGGGCCGTTTCCTGCCTGTGCATTGCAGGGGGGGGGGGGGGGGAGGGGGGGGGGGGATGGAAGGAAGGGGAAAATCTAACGGCCTTGGATTGTGGCTGATGACTTGGCAGCTGTTTCAGACAAAAGAGCAGAATGTGACTCTGGGAAGATCAATTCATTAGAAACGAGTCTTTTTAACAATCAAGTTTTTCTTATTTCAATCTACACATACACATCGATACATAAATAGAGTGGCACCGATACATCATACAATTTAATACAAGCAAAATTAATAAAACCAACCATATCTCTCGATACCCATCTTTGCATTAAATTATAACCCTTCATTGCTTAATTTTTCAACATTTCAATACTCTCTCCTTGTGCCAGTCACCACATCATTTAGACATAGCTAGTAATTTCATTGTTCAATTTCCTCTCCTACTTTTTATTTTTTAAATAAAAGTTCTCACGTGGCAAGCAGTGTGGTTCCAGGTTTCACATCTCAGTACAAACATGGCCATAGTTACCTATTCATTCGTCTTACTTATTCTGCTTCATATCACATTATTCCTTATTAACATTAAATTCATGGAGCTTATTTGATAGAAACAAGCCCTTCCTGAACGAAACGCCTCCTTTGCCAGCTCTTTCCTGCTGCTTATAAAAATAGCCTCTTGCCAGGAAAAGCAGGCTGGGGAAGAACTGATGCCCTCTGAGGGGCCCCAAGAGGATTGGTCCCTGCTCGACTTGCCCAGGCCGGCTTCCAAATCACTCCCGCCTCGGTTTCCTTCAACGCAGATCAGATCCCGGGCCAAGATCGAGAAGATCCGGGCCAGCTTGTTCAACAGCAGCGATCTGATTGGCCTGTCCACTCTGGACGGGGAAGAGGAGCTGATGGAGATGTCCTCAGAGGAGATTCTGACTGTCTCGACCGTGAATCAGAGCTTGTTTGATACCCAAGGGAGCCCCGCACTGGAAGACTACTTCGGTGACAAAACCATCAAAGGTGGGTCTGGGTGTGGGTGTGCGTGTGCGTGTGCCACATTTACAGGTGCCTTGTGCACCACTGGGTACGCAGGAGGGAGAAGGACCAAGAAGGGAAATCGAAGGTCTGGGGAGTTTGTTAGAATCCACGAACGGCGGCGATCCTGAAGTTCTCCAGTCCCAAAAGTTGCATCGGCTCCAGCCTCGAATCGGTCCCACAGAGGAGAGCTTTGGTGCAAGCAAACCCCTCAATCCGCTTGATTTAAGGCACAGCTTTTTCGTGAGGGTCAAGTGGCGTCCAAGGCAAGATAGCGGGAAACGCCTCTTGCGACTTCGCTGTTCTTTGCCACAGGGGACAAGCTAGTGCCGGGCGCCCGCGAAGTCCTGACGGACATCTTTAAAAGCTGCCTCCATTCCGAGCAAATGCTGAGCCTCTTGCCGGCCAAGCCCACCAAAGTGATGGAGATTTACCTGAGCAAAGAGCAGATCAACGCCCAGGCGCCCGGGAACCTCTTGCACACCTTCTTCACCCACGTCCGTCCCCCCAAGAAGGCCCTGGAGGATCAGCTGACCCAGGTGGGTGCCCCGCCCTGCCCCGAGGCAGCCTTGCTTGGTGGGAGGGCAGAGTCTGGCCTTGGTCCACCCTTCTGAGCCAGACTCCCCCGCCTAAAATGCCGCCTTTCCCCCTTGAAGATCCTCAGGAAATACGGGGTCCCCAGGCCGAAGTTCGACAAGAGCAAATACAGCAAGGGGGGCAAAGAGCAGCACCCCGTGAAGGTCGTGAGCACCAAGCGTCCCGTCAGCAAACCTCCAGCCAAGGAGAAGGCCGTGCTGAACAGCGTCAGGTGAGAGAGCTCTGCCTTCCTGGGCACCCGCCACCCACCTCCACCCAGGAGGGAACGGGGCGACCCCAGGAAGCTGGCTCCCTCCTTCCCTCCTTCGGGAATTCCTGGAAGTTCGTCTGAAGGACACGGCGGGTCTCGTCCCTTCCGTCTCCCTAACGTTGCTCTGGCCCAGACTGGACCTCTCTCTCTTTTGTCCCAGTGGGTCTCCTTGGGGGAGGGGAGGGACCTGCCTGGAGTTGTGGCCCCAAGTACAAAACGTGGTGGTGCGAGTTGAGTTTCTCACAGAGGGACCGTTGACCAAGATGCTGCTTATTCCTCCTTTAGCAGGACAGCCCTGAGTGAGAAGAAGCCAACGGTGAAGGCCCGGTCTCCAGAGAAGGGAAAACCTGAGGAGAAGGACCCCGACAAATCCCCCACCAAGAAGCAGGACGGTAGCTCAACCCGCTCTCTTGGGCCTGGGGAGGAAACGCTGGGCGTCGGGCGTCGGCGGTGGGGGGGGGGGGCTGTTCCGTAGCTGGCGGGGATGGGCCAGTGGGGGGGGGGGCTGTTCTGAAGCTGCCTCAGAGCCCCAGAGGGGCTTTAATTTCAAAGTGAATAGAAATCCACGTTGGGTTACATGTTTTCGGTATCGGAGGAAGCGGCTGTGACGGAGAAAGCAAACGGGGGCTGGGGTTTACACCAACCCCTGGATGTGTCCATGCTGACGTTTGCGTCTTTATTTCCCTTGGCGAACGATTTTAGCTCCCGAAGAGAAGTATTTGACCCTGGAGGGATTTCACAGATTTGTCATTGACCGAGCAAAGCAGGACATCCGTAGCGTGTGGCGAGCCATCCTGTCCTGCGGTTACGACCTCCATTTTGAAAGGTAGGGGAGCGCGCACCTGTCGGAGACACTTGCAGCCACATAGGGGCTGGTGGTCTTCCTCTGAGCCCCCTTCCTCCTCGTTCCCCCAGGTGCGCCTGCCTCGACGCCAGGCACGCCCAGAAAGCCTGCCGCAAGTGGTCCTTGGAGATGGACGTGGCCCTTGTCCGGTACATCAACCGGCTCTGCCGCCACCTGGCCATCACCCCTGCACGGCTGCACCCCCACGAAGTGTACCTGGACTCCGCCGATGCAGCTGACCCCCAGGTCTCCTGCCTCTTGAGTACGTGCAGGACTCTCCCTTCCTCCCTCCTCCTCGGGGGGGATCAGTCCCCGTGTCTCCTCCCCCCCCCCCCCGTTTTCCGGTAACTCCTGACCGCTGTGCTCTGTCACAGGCATCCCCATCGAAAGCCTCCGCCTGCGGTTCGCCTTGCTGCAGTCCCTCAACACCACCCTGGAGACCTTCTTCCTCCCGCTGGTGGAGCTCCGGCAGACCAGGGTGTACCCCAACAGCATCGCCGCCCTTCTGCAAGAGGCCAAAGGTCAGGGCTTGGGCGGATGAGGGGGGGAGGTCCCTAAAGCCGGTGGAGACCACGCGACCACTCTTGATGGCTTTCTCATCAGGCTGGCTCCCAAGGCCAACTTCTTGACAGGAGAAAGATTGGATTGGTTTAATTTCGGTTAACTTTAGACAGAGATGGAATGGACGTGGGTTTTAGTTTTTCCCCACCTGCTACCTTTGAATTGTGGATTCTGGAAAACCACCTGAGGTAGGGGGTGCAAAGCTTCCATTTTATGAAGGAAACCAAATGTTAGGCGTCCAGAAATTGTCCACGGTGATTAATCACCCCGAGACAAGTACAATCTCCAACTGATTTATTAGGAACAGCTCTGGTACGTCTATGGGAATTTCCAAAACTGAAAGTCATTTTCAGCACACAGTTCATTAATCACGAGAACCAATTAACTGCAGGTGGAATTTTTTAATGTGACATATGAAATAACCTTGAACTTTCCAACTCCTCCACCCACCCCACTTTCATTCCTTATAACATTCTTGGCAGCTGAATCTCAGAGCTGACACCAACGTTCATATTGCAAAAAGGCAGAATAAGCGTATTGGTGGAAGCAAATGAAAAATAAGCAACGTTTTTTGGTTGCCGTTCTCTCCGGGATGGCTAATCCCATCTGCAGGCCACCAACGCAGAATCCGCGGAGAGATGAGTAGAAATAGTGTCAACCGTGCAAAGGGAACGGATCGTCTGGGAGGGGAGAAATGGCTCATGTATTCCAGGTTGTGAGGTTGTCTCTCAAGGAAGGACTGTGATGCTTGGTCTGTTCCTTCAGGACTGATTTTTTACGACACGAAAGTGACGGTCTTGAACCGCGTGCTCAATGCCACAGTGCAGAGAACAGCTGATCACGCAGCCCCAGAGATCACCTTGGACCCCCTCGAAATAGTGGGAGGTAGGCACTTCAGGGGAAGCCCCCCTTCTTCTCTGCTCCTCCTGAGCTGGGTGGGACAATCGGAACTTCACAACCGCCGACTGCCGTTGTCAACCCGCCTTCTCTTTCTGCTCCTCGCCAACAGGAGAGATTCGTTCTTCAGAAAATTCCTATTTCTGCCAGGCTGCCCGGCAACTAGCTTGTGTCCCGTCATCACAGCTCTGTGTCAAGTTGGCCAGTGGAGGAGACCCCACTTACGCCTTTAACATTCGCTTCACTGGCGAGGAGGTTCACGGCACAAGTAAGTCGTTGGCTGGGAGGTGGCTGGCTGCTCAAAATGTGGGGGAGTAACTGTCTGAACGTTTCAGCTGGGGTGTGGCCCCCACTTGTTCTCTCAAAATAAGTGCTTGTTTTTTTTCCTCCTTTTTAATGTATAAAGTGTCCCACTGTATTCCCCAGTTAATCTGAACATCCCTGTAAAATATGGTGGGCTCAAAATAATGTAAAAAATGGCTGGTGGATAATTTAAGTGAGTTGTTCAGAAGGCTGAGGCTCTGGTTGGTTGGTTGGTTGGTTGGTTGGTTGGTTGGTTGGTTGATTGGATGGATGATTGATATTGATTGATTGATTGGATGGATGGTTGATCAATGAAATTCATTTCCCATTGATCATTGGGGAATCTGACAAGGAAGGTATTGTTGTACCCACACCTTGCTTCTAGACTGATCTTCTTGACCATTGGATTAAAAAAAATCTGGCTAAAAGAAACATTTTGTGACCAGTGTCATCCATGTGTCTTCCAGGTGGATCTTTCCGTCACTTTCTTTGGCAGGTTTGTAAGGAGCTCCAGAGCACGTTGCTGTCCCTCCTTTTGCTGTGTCCAAGCTCATCGGTCAACAAGAACAAGGTAGGCCAGCAGCTGCCCAAGGCCCACAGAGCCCCGTGGCTGGTTGTGAAGCTGCAGCCAACTGGCATCAGTGGGGACTCTTCACCCCCTACTAGCCTTCTCGTAGCAGAGGAGCCTTGAAAGGTTTCCCACAGCATCAGGCTAAGACGGTCTTGCCAACTAATCAAGCAAACTGTAATTCCTCAGAAGATCTGGGCTTCCAAACCGATGCCCCTTTTTCTCATCCCCAGGGCAAATACATCTTGACCCCCAGCCCCATCAGCTATGGGGAGGAACAGCTGCTGCACTTCTTTGGGCAACTCCTGGGCATTGCCATCCGGGCTGACGTCCCTCTGCCTTTGGACCTCCTGCCCTCCTTCTGGAAGATCTTGGTAGGAGAACCACTGGAGCCAGATGTGGACCTCCAGGAGGCTGACGTGCTGACCTACAACTACGTCAAAAAGTTTGAAAATGTACGTCCCTTGTGGTGCTGTATCCTCTTCCCCAGCCTTGATGGGGTGTTGTGAATAAAATTTAAATTCACGTATGATGATGGCTCTTGGGATAAGGACCCATCTAGCCACTTCACAAGCTTAGTCATAAATTGCAAGGCCTGTCCGTCTTCCGGAGCAAAGCAGAGAAATAAATTTAAAAGCCTGTTTCATTTCATTTTGGGTTCATCCTAGTGCGCTTTCTTCAAATTAACAGACGTGGTTTCATATATGCTGCATTCAGACCTCTCCATCCTAGTGAAGGAACCTCTTGTCTCCACTGTCTTAGCTGAACGACGAAACCGAGCTGGAGGCCCTGTGTGCGGAGATCGCCACCCAGCACCTGGCCATGGAGAGCCCGGACAGCCCCAACAAGCCCAGCTGCAAGTTCACCTACGTGACCATGACCGGCGAAGAGGTGGAGCTGTGCGCCCGAGGCAGGCACATCCCCGTCGTGTGAGTAGCAGGAGGCCTCGCCTGTGAGCCGAGGGCCCTCGAAGCGCCCCTGAAGGCATCCGAGGCCCGACGTGGGTCTGGGCTCCCTTCGCCTCTCCCTTATTTATGGGCTGGGGCTTGCAAGGCTCAGGGCGAGCAGGAAGGGGCCCCGGGGGAAGGGAGAAGCCTGAGCGTTACGCAGGAGTACGAGCCACGCGGGGCTTCCTACCCCGAGGAAAGAGCCTCTCCGTGGACCCCTGAACGCATCGTTCTTTCCAGGTGGGAGAACAAGGACGTCTACGCGGCGGCCATTCGCAACCTGAGGTTGCACGAGCTGCAGACCGCAGAGTGTGTGATGGCCGTGAGAGCCGGCCTGGCCTCCATCATCCCGCTGCAGATTCTGACCTTGCTCACCCCCTTGGAGATGGAACTGAGGACTTGTGGGCTCCCCTACATCAACCTGGAGTTCCTCAAGGTAATTTGAAGCCTTTATGGCCCGACAGGAAGAAGCAGGAAGAGCCTGCAGGAACCCCTGGGGGCAGGGTTCAAGGAGACCTTTTAGGCCAGGACCTGTGGACTTCAACTCCCAGAGTTCCTCAGCCAACCTGGATGGTGGAGAATCTCCTTAGACCAGGGGTCTCCAGCCTTGGCTATTTTAAGACCCTGGCTGAGGAACTCTGGGAGTTGAAGTCCACAGGTCTTAAAGTGGCCAAGGTTGGGGACCCCTGGATTAGGCTCCCGAGAAGAGGGCAGCTGCTCGTCCTCCTTCCCTCCCATTCATCTTTCACCCCTGCAAGTTATTCGCAGGAGAGTCGAGACCAAAACAAGAACCGGCTTAGTCATACTAGACCACCGCAGAGAAAACTCCAGTCCACCCCAGTTGACTAGAAACCGCAAAGTGAGGAGCCCCAGGGGGCTGAGGGTGTCTCTCCATCCATTAACTGGCTTCCCTCCTTCCGCCTCTCCCCCCTTGGCCACCCACAGGCCCACACAATGTACCAGGTGGGGCTGATGGAGACCGACCAGCACATTGAGTTCTTCTGGGGGGCCTTGGAGATGTTCACCCAGGAGGAGCTGTGCAAATTCATCAAGTTCGCCTGCAACCAGGAGCGCATCCCCTTCACCTGTCCCTGCAAGGATGGGGGCCCAGACACGGCCCACGTGCCGCCCTACCCCATGAAAATTGCGCCCCCGGATGGCACTGCAGGTACCCTTGTTTCCTGGTGCAGAGATGGACGGGAGGGAGTCATTCAGCAGAAAGAAAAAAAGGGGGGGGGGGGGGGGGGGGGGCAAACCGCGGGGGGGTCGAGGGAATTGGGGGGCCCAAGGTTGGTTTGGCCCTTGTAAGAGTTAAGCAAGGGGGTGTATGTGTGTGTTGATGCCTGCTTGGTGTAGAAGGCCAGTGTGACTCTGGTTCCCTTTGTCCTTCCTTGGCAATGATCATTTGAAGCACAACTTGGCCAACTGCTTCATCCTTGAGTAGCACACTTATCTGAAGTCAGATAGCAGATAGCAGAGAGGGAGAGAGAGAAAGATGGAAGGGAGGGAGGGAGAGAGGAAGAGGGAGGGAGGGAGATGGAGGGAGGAAGAGGGAGGGAGAGAGGGAGGGAGGGAGGAGAGGGAGAGAGATGCAAGGCACTAGAGCTGCGCCTAAAGCCCCCTTCCAACAGGCGCTGAGTCTCCCCCCCCTTCCTGTGATCCCCGACAGGCTCCCCGGATTCCCGGTACATCCGCGTGGAGACCTGCATGTTCATGATCAAACTCCCTCAGTATTCCTCGTTGGAGATCATGCTGGAGAAACTCCGGTACGCCATCCACTATCGCGAGGACCCTCTCAGCGGCTGACCTGCTCCCCTCCGAGGGAGGGCCCTTCAGAGGACGCACCGGAGAAGCCGAGCCACGACCAGGCAAGAGCGGAAGGTGAATTTGCTCCTTGCCTTCCTTCTTGCGATGGCCTTCGTGGAAGACTTCCGCTTCCTCTCCGTAGACTTCTGGGGTGGTGGGACTCGGCGGCTGCTGCTGCTGCTGCTGCTGCTGCTGCCTTATGGAAAACTTAGTCCGGGGACCGAGGTTTAGCAATCCCGGGGGATCCCCCCCATTTCGTCCTCATCGGAAAGGAGCTCGTGGCCAAAGGGAGATTCGGGGATTGACCATGCGAGGGGAAGATCTTCCATCGCCATTTCTGAGGGCGTCGGTGAAGCAACCACAACTTGTTTTGAGGGATGGAGGCGTAATGTAACCCAGCTAGACAAGCGGCAGCGTTTTCTCACTTTTTGCCAGGGTGGGTCGGAACTTGTTTGGGGCCACTTCACACATTCCACGGTGGGGTGATAAACAGCCAGTTGCCATGGTCTAAAGAACGGGGTGGGGGAGGGGTGCTGGTCTTCCCGCTTGATGGGCTCCGGTCCAGTTGGCCCCGAAGGTTCCACCTTGCGCTCAGAAATGGTCCTCCCGAGATTCCCTTTGGCATGTGGGAGGATCCCGGGCTCTTCCTTAGCAAAAGATGGAGAGGATCCACCTGGCTTTCTGGCTCTCGTTCCCACCGAGGGTTTCCAAGGGAACTCCCCAGGCGGACGCCACGGTGGCTCTCCTCGCCAGAGGCGCCTTGGTTTCAGAGGACGCGCCAAGCACCCCCGTCAAGCCTGCCTCGGATCGAGCCGTTTCGGGGTCGCTTTCGAACTCAAGACTCCAAAGGCTATCGGGGAAAGCGCCAGCAGCAGGAGGCTGCAAGCTGTCCTCTTAAAGGCAGCCGGGAGAGGAGACGCTGTGCCGGTCCTTGGCGCGGAGGAGCTGTACGTCTTGTATATTCCTGTGAATACTGTTCATCCTTTGGCCCGAGGGATGTGCGGATGGAGGTTGGGGGCGAGTGGGAAGGCGCCGGGCGAGGAGTTGAGGTGGGAGGGCTCCAGCGTCACCCTTGCGTAGTCGCCCCTTTGAGCCCGGCCCGTCTTGGGCCCCACCGGGGTGGTGTGGCTGAGAGGCGGGGTGGGTGCATCCGGAGAAACCCGGTTAGAACACAGGGACTTGAACACAGTTCCATCCACAAAAGATGTTTTCCAGAGATTCAGGGGGAGAGGGGGGGGGCTTATGCATCCGAACCCCCCCCCCCCCCCCCCCCCCCCTTTTTTCAAACCCCCCCGGGCCCCCTTTCGGGCCCCCCCGGGGGGGGCCCCCCCCCCCCCCCCCCCCCAGAGACCGGCAGCGTGTCCAGAGGGGCCGGCCTTCGAAGTGTGTGTGCTGTAAAGTGACTTGACGTATATTTATTCCAATTATTTATGGTTGCATTTAAGGAAAAAACAAAACAACGGTCTTCTATGGTGTTTACACCCCACTTACTGTAAATTGAGCTTTTGAGGGGAGGGGGGGGGAGACTGGGCACTCCAGGTCTCTCCCCCCCCCCCCTTTCCTCTGCATGGGGGCTTCCTTGGCCAGGGCAGATCAGGGCAAATGGAAGGAAGCTGCTCAGCGAGAGGGAGCAAACTGTGAATAAGGAAAATGGGTCTGGGGGCTTCTGGAGTCCGCCGGGCTCGCTGCTCCAACTGTCCGAAGTAAGAAGCTGCCCCTTTGCTCTGGACCCCGGGGGGACTGGGAGACGTTCCTTCCTCTTGACTTGAACGGTTGTCCTGAATGTAAAAAGCTGCCCCCAGAGGCAGCGGAGAACCCGGGGGGGCATTTCAGCCGAAGCCCCCCCCCCTTCAGGATCCGTCTCCCTAGGGGGTTTACTTCCACGACTCACCCACCCACCCGTGGAAGGGCTTGGGGAGGGGGGCAGGCAGGCAGCCTCTGGGACGGAGGGGAATCCTGCTCCCGAGGAGGAGGAGGAGGAGGAAGCCCCGCGGACGAGCTCTCCTTTGGGGGAAGACACCCCGAGCTGCCCTGCTCCAGCTCACTTTGGGGTGGGTTTACTGCACTGTATTCTTTTTTTTTTTTTTAATTTATATTTACTTAAGCAAACGTGTAAATATTTTGTATAAAAGAGAAAAAAGTGAGCCAAGGGCCGCCCCTCTCGGGCAAGGAGGACTCTGGCGTTTTTCCTTCTGCCTAGGGGAGACTGGCTGCCCGGCTGACCAGGCGTTTGCCGTTCTTCCTTTCGTTAATTTATTCTCCGCTTTTCAACTCTCCCCCCCCCCACAACTCTGGCCTCAAGAATATTTAAAAAAAAGAAAACCCCCCACCGCAGCTCGTCTCTGTAAAGCCCACCACAGGCCTCTGCCCTCGGAAAGAAGACGGCGAGGTCGGTCCCCCTTCTTTTTAAGAATTCTTTGGCTTTTCTTGTACTTAATAAATGCTGACATTTGGTGGACGTGTCCTTGAGGCAGCTCTGTTCTTGGGGAGCCTGAGCCACAGGAGGGGAGGAAACCGGCCAAGGAGGGAGGGGAGGAGGTTAGAGCCTCCAACTGCCAACAGCCAACCCCAGTTTCTGCTCTGGGCCGGACTCGCACCCAGGGTCGTGCGAGCCTGGCCTTAATGAACATGGGCCTAGAGAGAAAGACAGGATGGGCTAATAGGTACAAACTTTATTGTAAGAAATTGAAAAGTCTCAAAACACACAAAAGGACGCAGCCCTCCGGCTCCTCGGAAGGCCCGTTTCAGCTTTTAAGGCCCTGCGACTGAACACCAGGGAGGAGCCCCCGGGGGGGGGGGCATGGGGGGGGGGGGGGGAGATTTCCCTCCTTTCACATTGAGTGAAAAACTGGGCTGGGGAGGAGGAGAAAGGAAGAGGCGGGCGAGGGCAGGGAGGGACGGAGGGACACTCCTAGCAGCAAAGTTCGAACTCGGCAACTACTAACTAGCCTGTCTACTCAGGCCTTTGGAAAAGGGGGCAGAGGGGGGGGGGGTTGGTTCTCTACGCTTGCAAAGGGGAAGCGTCTGCTCAAGCAAAAGGGCTTCCCCCCCCCCCCCCCGGAACGACTCGGCCCTCTGCACCCCCACCTGAACAGCAACAAAACATGGCACAACTGACAAAGCAATCACGGGATCCTGCCGCCGCCGCCTCTGTGGCAGGTGTGGAACTCCTGCGGAGATCTTGTCATGAAACCCAGGTCCTCGTGCCGGAAGGGAGGCAGGAAAGGGCGACCCTGGACATTCTCCCCTCATTCTCTGTCGGGGTTGGCCGACTTCACTTGCCAGGGTTTTGCCTGGAGGCGAGAAAAGGCCAGAGGCCTGAAGGGGGCGCTTTGGAGAACCAGGCGAGGGGCTCAGAAGCCGGACAGGGGCTCTTCCGGCCTCCCCAGAAGACGCCAGGTCTCTTCCCCGCCTCATGATCCAGGGGGGAAGAGCTCAAGGGGACTGACTGGGAAAGGCACCTGCAAGGCCTCGGTGGAGCAAGAAATCCTGAGCTCAAGCACAAAGGGGGGCCGCGGTTGAGACATGCAGCGTACCCTCTAAGCAGAGATTTTTCTGAACCCATGAAATTCAAGCTGTCTCAGACTTTGCGAAGGGTTCAGCTCCTGTCGCAGGATTGGTTTCTTAAAGCCTCCCTCCCTTGCCCAAGAGGCCACCGGCCAAGCGCAGCCCTTACCTTGGCGTTGTTGAAATGGGGCGGAGCTGAAGGACTTTCTCCTCCTTCCTGTCTGATGCTAAAAGAGGGGGAGAAAAACAGAGGGAGGGTGGAAAAACAAAACTTCTTTTCAAGGTTGTTTTAACCCCCACCCTCCACCCCCCTGGAAACAGCTGCCTCTTCCAGTTGGGACCAGAAGGCAAGAAGTGCAGGTTCCCTCCCATCCCCCCTTAAGAAGGAGCAGCCCAGATATGCAGCCATCACCCCCATCAAGAAGGTTCTGGTTCTACCGTAAACGGACACTTGGAAAGCTGGCGGCGACTCGGGGGCCCCTACCTTGGGCGAATGGGGAGTGTAGCAGGGAAGCTTGGGATGTAGGTGCCGGGAGCGTAGTCCGAGGGGGGGTATCTGGCAGGCAGAGGGGCGGCCACAGGGTCGCTCGGGCTTCGGCCCGGGGTCCTTCCTTCGCTGTCTCCCAGTTTCTTGGGCTTCCTTGCCTTGGAAAGAGCAGCCGCATCCTCCCTCTGTTGGTTGTTGGGAGCGGCCGGCAGGAAGCGCCTGGCCGCCACCTGGGAGTGGCTCCTTGGAGCAGGCTGGAAAGGCTTCCTCTGCTGGAGTTGCTCCAGGTACTGTGGAGAGAGCTCACCTGGCGCAGGAGGGAGAGAGGGAAGACCTCTCAGGGGCCACCAGGGAAAGAGGCACAGAGGAGGCGCAGGGCCTGAGCCCGGGAGACGAAGGCGGGCTCCAAACTCCAGCAGGAGGGCTGAGGGACCCCCAACGATCCTCCCTGCCCGCTTCCCCACAGCCCAGTTAGGGAGCCCAGGACCGACCATCCTCCTTGGTGGATGCCCAGAGGAGGGCTCTGCAGGGCCTACACCAAGACTGGACCGGCCTACCTTGGTGCCGGACGCGTCTTCTGGGGAGCTCTGGAGACTCGGTTCCCACAGAGCTTTCCACCACTGGAGACCCCGACTGTACAGGCATCCTCCCGCTCGAGGGGGCGGTTGGTGGGCGCAAATCACACTGGTACTGGGTGGAGAAAAAGGGCTGCCAGTCAGGGCCCCCACCCCACCGCACCCCTGAACCCAACAGGGGGGGGGGCTTCGTGGCTGCTGCCTGCATACCTGGTGGTGGAACAGGATCTCTTCCTCTAGCTGGACCCCGCAGAACTCGCACGGGAGCAAGAGGCTGTCCTGGATGCCGGGCTGGGGAGGAAACGTCTCTCCGCTGCCCACAGAACGGCTGCCAGGCAGCTCTCCCCACAGGCCGCTCAGGCATTCTGTCGGCGGGGGCAGGTTGCTCCTCTTGCTGAAGGAGGCCAAGGCACTTGCGGGGCTGCAGCCCGTCTGTCACAAGTAGGGCAGGAAAAGAAGGGAAGCGGCCTCTTCCAACTTGCCCCAGCAGTAGTGGGCCCATTGAGGGGGCGATGAGCAAGGGCGGAGTTGAACAGGGGGCGATGTTTTCCCAGCCCCTCTTCCTTGGTCAGCTCCCCCCCTCTCAGCCCCAGAAGACGGGACACCCCACCTGGTGAAGGATCAGGTCTCCCTCGGGGAACAGCTCCTCACAGAATTCACAAGGCAGCAGGGTCTCCGCTGAAGGGCGAGAGAGACACAACTCAAAGCTGGATTACAACCACCCGGCCGCCATCTATCTCCTCCTTCAAAGTTCTCCTCACACCGAGATAACTCCTCCACCAAGCCCGGTGAGCCACCCAAGGGCAGTTGAGGCTGCTCTTCAGTCAAAAAGAGACAGGAACCCCCGGGGGGAGGAGGGGGGCAGGGTCCTTGGGGTTCTTCCCATAGCTTGCCCCTTCCTCCCCCTGCCATCCCTGGAGAAGCAACCACGAACACCCACGTACTTTTGGGTCTGTTCAGGTTGTCGGCCGCCACCAGCAAATCCTGAGAGGGGTCCCTGGAGTTCTTTGCTGGTCCGGCCTGGGGGGGGCAGATGTTCTTCCAGAGTTCTCTGTGGAGCTCGGCCACGCTGGGTTGGCCGAAGCGGTTTTCCTGCTGCAAGCTGAGCGCCAGCAGGTAATCCAAGTTGTAGTCCGAGTCTCCGTCTGCAGGCAGCGGGGGGGCCTCCTTTTCCAGACGAGCTTCAGGGGACAAACACCACACAGCATGAGAAGCAAACCTGCCGCCCTCCCTCCTCGCAGCAGCAGCAGCACCAACGCAGAGGAGATGCGGCTTTCAAAGCCTCTGGGGGGAGAGAGCG